TAAAATTTCACAATACGTTCAAGATTCTTTCCAAAACAAAGCTAAACATGTTCAAGACAAACTCATACCTTTCCAATCATACACAAACATGGTTTTCAAATCACAAAAGATAGTATAGCCAAGAAATGAAGAGCGATTATCAAGTTCCAAGACATGTCCCAAACATGATCACACAAAAATGGAAAGTTGCTCAAACATGTTTAGAGCATTTCCAAAACATCCATAAACATGTCACTACAAGAAAGAAAAGTTCGTCATCACACATGGATTTGAATTCATCACTTGCATCCTATATAAAGAGATAACACATCACCAAATAGGGGAGAGATGTGAGAAATTAAAAATAAAAAACACATCCTTTATCATTTTCCATTGAAAAATCAACATCATTTAACCTTTTTTCTCATTCACCACCTATAGATCACCATTGTTGACAATTCCTCATTAAAACATCCACTACCATTGCGGTCATAACCGTCCATGATGCATCTTTGACAACTTCCTCTCACCACCACAGGTCTGTCATCGTCCGCTGCCACCGTGAGTACCACCTTCTTCGGTATTGACTGAAAAACAGGTGGACATAGGTACATTTGTTTTTCTTACTGGTATTTCTTTATGACTTTACACATTGAATTATTAATCTTAAGTGTATTTATTTTTCTCTATGTATAGAATGTTTCACATGTAAACTTTTATCTAATTTTTATTTATTATTTGATGTATTAGTGCAACAAATATTAAAATACCAAAACAAAAATAAAAGTTTCAAAAATACAAAACTTAGACTTCATTGTAATTAATTAGTTTAGTCGATCAATTTAATTATGTTAAATTCTTTTCTTATTTTATTCATTTAGTTTAGTGAATTATTTTTTTTATTAATATGAAATAAAAATACAAATTTTTTTCTTGTGATTTTTATGGATATTTAATTAATCACAAAAAAATAATAAAATTCAAAATACCAACAAATATTTAATTCTTCTAATCAATAAAAATAATTAATTTGTATATAATTTAGTTATTTCGATATAATTTAACAATATTGCCCACTTGAAAATAATCAAACCCATACATGAATCACTAACTAAAAAACAAAAACAAAAAAAAAAGACTAAAACATTTTTCTTTTCACACTTAAAATCAATCAAACTCGTCAAAATTTTCTTTTTTTGCTCTGTGCGATAAATTCTTCCCTCTTCGCCATGTGCGGCAAATCAACTTCTTTTTCCCCATGCATTTATTTCAAAGCAGAGATATTTCATTTTTCATAAACTAAAATCAACCAACAAGTAAAACACGAACTACGGAGTTCTGATTCCCTATAGGATACGTAGGCACTGGGTTGAAAACTCAGACGAACTCAATAATAAAAAATTTTCATTTTTCCTCATGTATTCGTACACTTTTCCCTTTAGCAAGCAATAGGATATCAAACACCTTTCATGCCTAGACAACTTAGACAGTTCCCATCGAGTATGATGGATGTAGAGAGTTGTAACACCTTCTTCTTACATAACCGACTTCCGAACCCAACATGGTTGTGATGATCATACCCTATCCTTTTTCCCTATGGGTTTTCTTCAATATTTTCTTTTTCCTCTCGTGGAAATAAATAAAGTTCGGTGGCGACTCTCATAAGTCCATCTGTGATCGTGCAAACCCTAGTTTTGCGCATCGCGAAGATCGTATTTTTCAAGGTACGACAACTACCTGGGTCGATTAACACCAGCTTGACACTCTAATCCTGAATTTTTACTTTTATGGCCATTGGTTCATTCTCAAACGCTAGTTCACCTTTTGAATCCCATCTTGAAAAGCTGACAACGACATGTCTTTCTTCCTTTCCTAAAACTAGTTTCTGTAAAACATGCATTACTAGTCGGGTGTATCTCTATCTAGTTGAGCTTGTTTCACCTCCACCAATAAAACCTTCCGAGATGGTGTTAAGTATGTGGGGTGATACCTTGGTTTCACGCACCTCCTCTGTACTTTTTCCCTTCTTGGCAGAGAGGTTCTCCAAGTTCAGCTCCCTCCAAGAAGGACTTCTATTTCCTACTGTTCCTTCAAGATCATTCATGTATGACAAAAACCAGCCTCTTTCGATCATGATCTCAATTTTTCTTTTTATCTGATGAAAATATTTAATATGGTGGCCTTTCACACGATGATAATCACACCAAACATCCTCATATTTTCCCATTAGAGTGTTGGCCCTCTTGGAGCGACTGGGTTCCAGTAATAGTTTTAGATGGTACATTTCATGCAGGATATCCACGCACTTTGAATTGAGTGGGGTAAAGTTATCAGAAAAGTTATCCCATGGCCATCGGAAGGCTTTATCGTCGATGTGTCCCTCAACTCGTGCTTGCGGTGATCTTTCTTGAGCCTGGTTCTGTTATGCATAGGTTATAACTTCATCCATGCAGGTGTATGGCTTTTGCGCTAAAGACTCATTGAAATGGGCGGCCTTCAGGCCGCTCTGGAAGGATCCCACAAACATTTCCTGATTCAGATGAGAAACTTTTATTGTTTCTTCATTGAATAGCGCCATATATTCACTGAGAGATTCAAAAAGCCCCTGGCGGACGTTGAGCAGGCTAGTGGTGGACACCTCTCAATGCTTCATGGCGGAAAAGTGATGCACCATCTTCCTGGTTAGATCTTGGTAACTAGTGATTGAAAACATAAGCAGGCTCATGTACCATCCTTGCCATGAGCTTGCACTTTAAAGAGTTGGAAGCACTAACTATCCCCATTTTATTGCTAATTGAAATTATATGCTCTTGTGGGTCGCTTTTTCTATCAAAGGATGGGAAAGGTGGTGGTTTGAAATTCTTTAGGAGTTGATCGCCCCATATTACTTCTGAAAGAGGTTGAATATCTATAAGCTCTTATTCTTTCTCCTCCCTAATGCTTTGCATTTGCTAATGTCTCTCAACACTTTCTTGCAAGGACTCATTATGCTGGCATAAATTCTCCACAATTGTCAAATTTGTTCCATGTGTTGTGATGTGTAAGGTTCACTTATGTTCGGAGACGATCCATACATCATGTTATTATGGTGTAAATGATGTTTTTGTGCGGCCTGGGAAAGTATTACCGTGGCCCCACCGTGGGGGCCAAATGTTCCTGATAAACACTTTTGGATAATTTTCTTAAAGCGAATCAAGTGAGACCACAAACGCAACAGGAATTGGGTGTTACTTGATTACTTATATTGTCGTGTACTATTATCCCCCATTTTTCTTCCTCAATGGAGAGCCATTTCATATCCATCTCACCTCCTGAGATCATTAAGAAGTGCCCATTCAAGTTTCATGAATAAATGATGCTAATTACACCTGTTGTCGTCATCATTATCGTGTAATGTCCCCTCTATCAATTTTTGCATCTCCCATGGAACTACCATATAACCGTTATACTGATTGTACACACCGTGCAGAAACGTGTCTCCAAAAACCATGTGACTTAGGCTCATATTTGTCTAACAAGTAGTAACTCGGTAATCGTTGCCTTTTACAAGTACCTGGCATGTTCAACTTTCCTTCTCGACCCTAATGATATTAGATACAAGTAATTACAAATATTAGATACAATTAAAAAAAGATTATTATATTGAAATTGAAATTTTAACTAGTTTTGGGATAATTTTTTTTTGACAAATACACCATTCATTAATTATGAGAACAAAAAATATGGCCTGCACCCTTATTTTGTGATTAAATGTAAAAATACAAAATTTTTGTTGTGAAAATTACTATTTAATTATAATAATTGGTTCTTCTAGATAAATAATATAATATATTAATTTAATGTTTGAAATTTTTATTAAAAATTCAAAGAGATAAATATACACTTAATACTAAGAGTTACTATAAATCAAATTAAATTTGTACATTAATTTAGAAACTGAAATTCAAAACACCTAGCACAAAATGCATGTTTATGGACATATGAAAAACATGCTTTCTAGAAAGCATGATAATCATAAAAAAAATTATTAAGCGCTCATTATTTATTTGTAAATGAGAGTGTTTTAAAAACTGAGTCCCTCATCAAAACCATGAGGAGATTTGGTCCATAGTTTATTTATTGAATCATTGAGTTATTAATTGATCTTAGAGTTAAACCTAATTAAATTAGATAATTCGGTAGAATATATCTATCTTTATAATAAAATTATATAACTATTAGATCCATCGTATTAAATGATTCAGTCTTTAAAAAAATCACAACATCTACAAAAATTTAATAAAATCATAATTTTACAACTTTGTAATTTAAATTTAAATTTTGAAGATAATAATCATACACAACAAAATAGAATTCCAAATACCTTATAAATAAAATCTATTTGCAACATGAATAAAATAACTAACAATTGGTTGTGTCTAATAAATTTAATTAAAAAAAGGAAAATTGTTTTAAATAATTTTTGAGCAAAGTCTATTTATATTTTAATTTTAATTTTTTTTTATTATGGAAAACCACATTGTTTTTTTTTTAAAAACAACAAACTATTCCAGTTTTTCAAAACCATGGCTTGTTGGTTTTTATCGATTTTGGACGATTCTCATTGGTTCAATATTTTATCCGGTGCAACAATCAGACCAAACAATTTATCTCTTTGTTTTCCAATTTAACAATTCAATCAACCGATTCGGTTTAATTTTTAAAACATTTGATGTAATTTATTCGCTTTCTTTTACAAACTTACTATAATATTTTTAATCTAATATATAATTCAACGATAAAATTAGCTAAATTGATAATTATCTCATAATTAAAAAAAGTCTTCATATACTTTTTCTCATATATATGGTAAGTGAGTCAGAATTTAAAAAAGAAAAAAAAAGACTTTATTTTAACCGTTACAATTGTCTTGGGAAATTTCAACCCAATTCAATTGTTGAAAAAATTATTCATCTTTTCCTATAAATTGTTAGAAAGTCTTCAACTTTAGACATACTCTCCATCATAATCTATTTTCTCCCATGGATAATGATGATTATAATCTATTTTCCATTGTGCATAGCTGCAAAGCTAATGCTTATACTTCTTCTACCACCATTTTAAAAACTTTTCCTTCACCTCAAACATTAACAACCACCTCCACCACTACCAATAACATTATATCTTCTCAAACAACCACACCATGTTACGCTGACGATTTTTCTTTAACCCAAGAAAATAGATCAGTTAGTCTTTCCCCACTTAAACCAACTGATTTTATTGAGCTTGACAAACTGAAAATCAATTTCAATCCAACCACCGTTATCCCCGCCCACACCACAACTATCCCCATTACCGTCACCCCCACCACTACTACCCTATATACCCCGGCCACCATTACTACTACCATCACTAATACTATTAATCATGACTCCAATCAAAATACTAATTTTTTTGATTTCCCAACACTCAATAGAAACATACAGATGCAACCAACTGATATTAGGGGGCCAGAAAAAAATATACCTAACTTTAGTCCAACGACCATTATCCCCATCCCCGCCATTTATAACCTTACCACCAATATTCCCACACCCATTACTTCCAACTTCACTAACCCCAGCCTCCCAACAAACATTTTTACCCCGACTGCCATAACCACTACACCTTCTATCAATTCCATGATTAACACTAACACTAGTTGTTATGGAACTAATAATTATCTTAAGATACATGATTTCCCAAAATTCTTTGAACAACAACAAATCCAACAAAATCAAAACAATCAACTATCCGCTCTCAAACCTGCCGCTTGGATTGAAATTACAAAGGCTCATTTTGATCTTGCATACAACCATCCATCTATTTCTAAACAATACGCAAGAGATAGCAATCAACCACCAACTCCACAACCCCAGCCTAGTTCTATGGTTTTACCAAATACAAACCTACAAGGAGAACTATGCAAAAACAGGAAAAGGTAAATATTTATTCATATATTTTAATATCTTTAATCGTTTATCAATGTTATTATGTCAAATTATTGGATCATTTTTACATAAGTCTTTGTGGTTTAATACTGTTTCAACTTTATTTTTTTTCAGAAAGTTTCACAATCAGAAGATAGTAGAATGGCACTTGAGTGTAGAGAAGTTGGGTGAAGATCCATGGGAATGGAAAAAGTATGGACAAAAACCCATTAAAGGATCTCAACATCCAAGGTTTTTTCTCATTCCTGTGTAACTTTACATATATTTCCTTTCCTTTACTATTAAAATATTATTAATTTTTTGGTTGAAGGCCATGCGAGCCTTACAATTTAAGGGAATTTTGTTCATACTGTTTTCTTTGACATTCATTTTTTATTTTATGTCATTTTCATATTTTATTTAGTCAAAGAAAATTTACTAATTCCAAAATGAATTTTTTAATTATATTTATAATTAGATTTTCTAGATTTTAAAGGATGAATTCTACTTAATATGAATAAATATTGCTATGACTAACACAAAACAAAAAAAACGTTTTTATAAGAAAAAAATAAAAAATGTTTTTTTAAGGACAGAAAAAAAAATTTAAATCGTAATATTTAAAATATCTTAATTTCATCAATCCTCATTTTATACTCTTCACTTTTAACAAGTTGATAGTAAGTACAACAGTACTTGTTAAGATTAATTTGGTAAAACTACAGAAAATCATGTTTATTGTATTTTTAACGAGTATGAAATTAATATGTGTGTAGCTTATTGATGGATCTCAAACATGTATAAACAACCTAACCAATATACTTATATGCGTTTATATGGGTTTAGTTGTTAAAATGCTACAGCTTTGTAGTGTTTCATATATGAAATAATGTTTAATGATTTTGCAGGGACTACTATAGATGTAGCACTTTTAAAGACTGTTTAGCAAAAAAACAAGTAGAAAAAAAACAACACAAAGAGAATATTTATGTTGTTACATATATAGGAGAGCATAACCATCCAAAACCTGCTGTTGATCGGTCTCCTTATAACAAGTTATCAAAGAAGAGAGTATTCAGTGTCAAAAAATATGGATGATAGCATGCCCAAACGAATTACATCTGGACCCATTTGGCTGAAGGAATTTCATTCATATTAATAGTTGTTTTATTGTTGAGTTATTTTATTATTCCTCTAAATGGGTTTGGCCCAATAGTATTTTGTATTTAAAGGAAATTAGGTTAATGAATGAATCATCATTGTTCATAAAGTTTTCTTTTTATCGTATTTTGTGTTTATTCAAATGGTGAAACCCTAGATCTGGGGAGTAGTAGCAGAACCTTCTTATTATTGGTGCTTTCATTTTCTTTACCTCTAAATGCCTTTCAAAAATACCAACGCAGCTGTCGCAACTGCGAAAAACATCCGGCGGAAAAAAAAAGAAGAATCGCCACTTTCGTTATTTATCCTAAAGAGAGGGAAAGGAAACGATCGCAAAAACCTAAAGAAAAAGGGAATGACAAGGTCATCGCAACCATGTCTGGATTCGGGAGTCGGTTACGCAAGGGGAAGATATTAGCACCCCTCACGTCCGTCGTACTCGACGGGATCCACACATTGTTGTCTATCTAAAAGGGTGTGTAAACTATCTAGCTAAAGGCTTAAGGACAAAAGAAAAAGAAAAGAGAACTGACTCGGCAGAGCATCGCCGCTCTGTGCCTACGTACTCCCTCGTGCAATGGGAAAGTCAGAGTCAACGTAGTTCGCCTAACTACGGCTAAAGAAAGGGGGAAAGGTTGCTCGTCGAGACGTCGCGTCTCGTGCCTACGTACTTTCGTTTGGTACGAAAGATCAGAGCAAACGTAGTTCGGGCTAAGAGGACCACGGGTTGGTTCAACATTTTTTAGGCCCGAGTAGGGTTAACAGATAGTTCTAGCAGTTGGTGTATGCAGCTTGACCTTTGGAGACTCAGGCGTTACCGTCTGCGGTAGAACTAAAAGTTAACGACACTCTTGTTTATGAAATATTTTCCTTGATTAAGAACCCCAAAGGATGAAAAAGGTTTGAAATGTTTTTGTGTTTTTTAGAGAAGAAGTGTTTTGAATTAGAGTGTTCATAATGTATGTTGTAACAAAGTCTAAAACCTAGGATCGAATACGTCGCATATCGTTCTAAGGACGTATGCTAAACACTCTAGGAAATTGAGAGGTGGCCCCTCAACTACCATTTCCCAAATATAAGGCTCATGGCAGAACACTCATTATCCTTATTAAGTATGTTAAACTTGTTTGAAGATGAGAAGAGAAGAAGGCACACTAATGGGAGACTAATTGTCCTAAAAGTTATCATGCCAAGTGGACTTAAGGTTGAGCTTAAAAAGGGAACTACCTAATGTTATCATGAATGGTTAGGCACCTAATGTCTATCATAACCTCAAGAGGTTAGAGAACTTATGGGGAACATGGCAAAGAAAAGCTAAAGAAGAAGAAGAAGAAGAAAGAAGAATGCATATGCAAATGAAGATACACACATAAGATGCACAAATAGAATGATAGTGGGAGGAAAATAGTGTGGGGCAGTAGCCATCACAAGCTCATCTCAACCAAGCATGCATATGGAAATGCAAGAAAAAAGAAGAAGAAGGAGAAGAATGCATCAAAAGCAAACAAACAAGTGACAAACACAAAGAAATGGTCCTCATGGATTTATCACTTTAGGTAAGCTTCAAATTTCTCCTAAGGAGGCACCAAGCTACCTTAAATGACACTCCAAGGTCATTGGACTGAAGGGAGATGAAAAGAAGAAAGCTCAAAAGAAATACCAAAGCAAATCAAGAAGAGATGCAAGCAATAACATGAAGGAAGCAAGCAAGTATCATTCAGGAGTTCAAGTTGCAAGCACAAAAAGAAAGGTATCAAACAACAAGCTATGAACATAATTTTGACCTAAAAATGAACATACAGCAAGCTCAACATGTCTAAAATGTGAAACAAGAAGAGTTGAGAGCTTATTGGATCCACAAAGGTCATTTCCAATTCAAACTAGGTCAAGCACTTGTGTGAGTTGTCCTATAAGATGACCTAACTTGTAAGTCACTTCAAAAATAGAAAAAGGGCTCAAAAAATATCAAATAAAATGCACAAAGAAGCTACACAAGTTGGCAACCAGAGGCCAAGAAATCAAGACAAATGTCCTTTCAAAGCACCATCAAAAGAATCAAATCATTTGGACGTACCACTTTGAAATGGAAGAAACAAGTGCACAAAGGAAAGCCACAAAAGTCAACCCAAAATTCAACAACCAGGGGCAAAATGGTCCTCTAAAATTGATCAACTCATCATTAAGATGAGGATCAATTTTCAATCATTGGATCAAAAAGGAATGAGAGAAATAAATGCAAACACAAACAAGGTTGCAATTTAATTCAATTAAAACAATTCCAATACTTAATTCATTTTTTAATTGAAAATAAAATGGAAAAAATAAAATAAAAATATTAAAAAAAAGTAGACATCTCAAAGTTGATGAAAAATATTTTTGGTGAATTTTTGGAGTATTGGAATTATTTTATTTGATTTAAATTCTAAACAGAAAAAAAATAAAAACAAAAGAAATTAAAATGAAAATAGGGAAAACAGTGTGGCAAATAGCAATGGAATGGAGTTCAAACATGGAAATGGGCCCAATCTGGGGGTGCCAAAATCAAGGCGCGTTGGGCCCAATCAGCAAAAATCACAAATGAAATAAATTTGAGGATCCAATGCATCAAGTCAAACAGCGCATACCATGGACATTCAACATGAAGCGCTTGATTGTTTGGTAATCCAATCAGGTGGTGTACAGCGTGACAACGCATTAATGAAAACTTAAGAGAAATCATATGGAACAAGTCAACAATGGAACACGGTATTTCTTAATTGTAACCGTTGGAAGAAAAAGTATTCACATTAGACGCGTGCCAAGGAGACACGTAAGCGTCTTCTTCCTCAAAACTCACCAGCGGCCGGACTGAACTTCCAGTCGTCTTCCTCGTGCGTCCGGCCACCGCGCCTCAACAACAACACACACAGAATTCAATTCTTCACCATTTCGCACGATTCTTATATCAAAATTGCACTAGAGATCACGAGGATCTCATTTCTGGCCTCAAAATCCACATATCTTGCAATATACATCCAAACCGAAAACAACAAGAATGAACATCAAAAATCAAAGTTCACCAAAACCACTTCAATTTGATCCAAAACTCATCTAGAGCTCACATAGGTCACAGATCAAGTGTTAAACAAGCACGATCATGCACAAACAAACCAAACCAGATCCAAACATAAATGAGCATCATCCAACAATCACAACCAATGCCAGTCCATTTTACATTTTAATCATCTACATTGATCTTACGTCACAAGTATGCAATAATGGTAGTGAATTGATGCTTAACAAGAGTGTAATGTTGAATTTCAATTACCTAGTGGAGAACTTCCACTGAGCCTTCAAATGGAGCTCAAATTTGAAGATAATTGCCCAGAATCGTTCACTGAACTTCAATAAAGCTTTCTCAATTCACAATTTTCCTTGATACAGCCTCAATCTCCAAATTTGAAATTTGAATTTCTCCCACTTTTTGAAAACTGAACTTGATGAATTTGGCTCCAATTTGCACTTCTGATGGTTTGTGAAGGTTCAAAACATTATATATGATGGATCTTGATGATAATTAGGCCCAATCTCAGCCTCTAACAGTCCAATCAAAAATCCAAAGAATTGAATTTTCCAAGCTTCATGTACACGAAAATTGCACTAATTTTGGCTCCAAAATGGTTGAAACAGCTTGATGGTGTCTCATGGAGCATGAATGGTCAGGATTAGAGTCTTAATTGATCTCAATGGCTCATGTTTGTTATGTAACTTCACAATAAAGAAACCTTGAAAATGGCTCATTTAAACACCTCAAATCCAAATTGTAAATTGACAAAGTGTTTAGAATGTTGTTTGCACTCAAAAAATGCATCCATTTGCACCAAAATGTTCAAAAGTGAATTAATTCTCATTTTCCCCTTTTTAACCTTCTTCCATGAAAATTCAAATATCAAGACCTCAAACCAAGCCAATTCCTTAACTTCTCAATGCTTGACTAATCAAATAACACCATTTGGAGCAAGTTTGATGTGGGAAAAAACTTCATTTGAAGTGTGCAAGTTGGTGAAATGGACCTATAATTTTATGACCTGTAATCTTACTTTCCCCAAAATATCCCTAACTTGTAAACCTTATAACTTGAGTTCTTCAAATCAGATGAAATACTTCTAGTACAATTTGGAAATCTAAGACCAAGACCTACAACTTTCATGTTGGCCAAAAGTTGAGGAGAATCATCCTTCTAGGTCAAAAATGGCTTCGAAGTTTGTTGACTTTTGTTGACCAAAATCACATCCCTCTGATAACCTGTAACTTGTCTGGATCATAACTTGAGTTCTATAAATCCAATCAAGGACTTCTAGTACTCAAATTAAATCTAAGAACATGCTATACAAGTTCCATGTTGGTCAAAAGGTGAGATGAAACTTGTATCTTGAGATAGGTGGTCTTGAAGTTAGGCACTAAATAGGGGATTTTACCCTGAGAATCCTAATTTAGTAACTTCTCACACACTTGATCCTTGATGAGTTGAACTTGAAATGATGTCTCATATGTATTAACACAACATCCCATGACCATATAGACTTTTAATTGAGTTTTAATCTCCTTCAATTGCACAGTTGACTGAGGACTAGCCAGATGAAACCCTAATTGCAACACCTTCAACTGTAACCTTCCACACTTGGCATAAACACTTGGATGAGCTCCACAATGACCCTCAAGGCACTCAATGAGCTCTCTCAACCTCTTATATCCATAACCATGAACCACGATCCTTTGATGATCTTGAACTACCCTCAAAGTTAGGAGCTGACCCACATACATTCATCCTTTCTTTCACAAGACCATTGTCCATTTCCTGATGACTTGATTACCATCCAAACTTGAGTAAAACCCCTTGATTAGGCTCAACCCTCTGAATAGACTCTTCTTGATATGCACAACCTTTTGATCCCTGT